AAAAGTATATAAATAAAAAAGGAAAAGATAGGCTGGGAGAAAAAATCAGGGAATAGAAGTACATGCTGCAGAGAAGCAAGATGTGTAATTTGTTCAAGATAGCAGCTGCAGTTTCCTCTGGCTTCCACATGCATGCACACATACACGTACACATATATGTACACACAAAAACACACATAAAAGGTAAGGGTAGCTGGGAGCCTTTCATGTCTATCAGGACACGAAGCCAGATGGGGAGGAGAGAATGGCAAAGGAGGAGAAAGCAGTGGAGCAGCAAGCCTTCCTTACGCGGCTCTGAGAGGAGCAGGTGTTTAGGGAGGAGCAGGGTGAATAGAGCTGCAGGTTTGCAGGCACTGACTGCTGAGTCAAAGGGATGTCACAGCCAGGGCACAGGGAGTATGACTTGGAATGTGATGGCTGTCCTTAGCCCAGAAGCTGAGGGACAGCATGGTGGCTGTGTGACTCACAAACCCTGTGATTTCCCCTCCACAGACACTGTGACGTGTTACAAAGGGACCATGTTGAGGCTTGGTGTTGGCTTTGCTACGGAAGCTGTCCAGTGGTCTGTATCTGCGACCCAAGTGTGTGAACCTGAGGAAACATGTCAGGAAACACTCCTGCTTGTAGACATAGGTGTGTGGGGTGAGATGGAGGATTGCACTCCTGCATGGGGCCACTGCCCTTATGTCTGGGCTGTACTCTCTCTGTGCCTTGTCTTGCTGGGTGGTGATGTACCGGTTGCCCCAAGCTCAGAGATGATAGAGGTAGTGAAACAACCAAAGGGACCCTGATCACCCCATCTTTAAAGGAGGATTGCTCTTCTGGGTGTGACTCAGTTAGTACAGTCCCTGTTTAGCATGCTTAAAGCCTTTAGTTGGATCCCTACCACCAGGTAAACTGGGCACACCTGTAATCACAGGACTGGAAAAGAAGATACAATGAAATTTAAAATCAATTCCATCCTCACCTATATAGTGGATTCAAGACCAAGCTGGCTTATCTGAGACTCTCCAAGAGCAAGAGAGAGAGAGAGTGAGGCAAAGTGCTAAAGAAAAAGAGAGAGGAGGGAGAGAGGGAGGGAAGGAGGGACTGAGGAGGGAGAGACAAATGGTGGAGGGAGGAGGGAAGGAGAGAGGAAGGGGTAGAGGGAGGGGGAAGGAGTGGAGGGAGGGGGAAGGAGTGGAGGGAGGAACAGAGGGAGGGAAGAGAAACAGGAAGGGAGGGAGGAATGGAGGGAGGAAAGGAGAGGGAGGAGAAACAAAGGGAGGGGTGGGGAGAGAGCCTAGCACCTGTTTGGGGCTCACCCTTTTGCAGCTTTACAGGGAAAGGGAAAAGGAAAGAGAAACAGAGCACAGGGACCAGCTGTGAAGAGCAGAGTTCGGAGAGAAATTCAGCAGGGTAGAAGTGATGGTGAGCACAGTGAGGCTGCAGCCTGTAGGAGGGGCTCAGAAAACCCTGTGTACACACAGTGTGCAACAAGATCTGCAAGGGGCAGGGCAGAAGCAGCCAGGCTTGAGCTTCAGGCTTTGGCTGACAAAGAACATGTCGTGTCCCATTGTCACTGGGGATTATGCTCTCTCTGTGACTGGGAACATCAAGGAACCTAAGAACTGGGCTCCCAGGCCTTGACACTCTCCCCTTCCCAGCCCAGCTCACACTCTCTTATACCCACAGGACCAAGAACACTCCTAATAGGGAGCAAAGGCTGCGCCAGGGCTAGGGCAGAGGACAAAGTTGACATCTCCATACACTCCAGTCCGCCTGGAATGTTGGTAGCTTCCTACTCAGTCTTCTGTTCCTCCGACCGGTGCAATGAAGCCAGCAACAGCAGTGTCCTGCTGAGCCGCCTCCCTCGTCTGAGTATGGCATCTAGACATGGAGGGACCCAGACATTTGGGAGTTAAGCTGGTGGCTGC